CATATTAAAATTATAAATTTGAAAGATTTTTACTATTATTAGCACCTAAATTAATAAAACATACACGTATGGTTTGGCATGCAAAAGTACTTTTATTCTTTTTACACGAACAAAGTCGCAGACGCAGATAGTTTAAAATAAATAAATAAATACATTAATGACTGTAATCCCTTATAAGATAGTTAAAGGTAGTGCGGTTCCAGAGAAATTTTTTTACACTAACGTTCAGGCTATGGAATGAGCTCCCTGCCGAGGTTTCCCCTAGAGACCACAGTAAAGGATTCTCCAAAAACGGTATATTAAGGTTTCTTCAGAGTCGGCAACACGCACGTGACACACCTAACGGTATTACCTAGCAAAAGAAAAAGGTTTCAGGCGTCCATAAGCTACAGTGATTGTTTACCGTCAGACGGGCTGTATGCTTGTTTGCCACTTATTAGTATTGTAGTATAAAAAAAGGTATTTATCGACTGTTAACATTGTGGGAACCGTGACACTAATGCTCACATTTCACCAAAAAATACACAATTAATAGGTATCTATTTATTTCATGTAAATATTTCGTTATTATTATTATAAATTACTAAATAACATTTCTGCGATATTCAAAGATAAATACGATAGTTTTCATAATATATTTAGTTAGGATTTGACCAACGGGATTATCCCGGCTAGATGTTTGACCCCGTACTATTAAAGTAGGCCCGGCGATCGAGGTCACACGCTGAACGTTATAAACCGAATGGATCATAGTATCAAACTTTTAAAACCCTGTTATTGTGAAATAGTATATGTTTACAGCAAAATTTTATCTATCTATTAGTTTTTAACATTCGATATTTTTTTTATATATATAAAATACAAATATATTGACGTCTGTTATTCTTAACGGGGTAGATGTAGGTAACTGGAAAATCACCGGTGGTTACAATAGAAGATCTTAAATAATAAAATTAATCATAATTTTCTCACAATGAAAAGCACAGTTAATAGTGTTGAGTTGTGTTCAGTGTTGCCACATACAAACGAAAACTAAATGTTAAGTGTAAATAAAATTAAATGTTAATTTTTAATATAGTTGCTAGATACAAATAAAATATATATAATATGTTAGTTTCTAATAGGTAATCAGAGGTAAATATAATACTCGACATGTTTCGTACATATCATATATATTTCTATATTCAATATATATCAAACAAATTCAATAAAATCGAATTCAATAATTCCAAATATCAAGAAAAAGAAATAAAGGTAATTCAACGGCGGAATTCAGATATATAATTTTTTTATGAATGGAAGTGACATATAAACTATCAGTCTACCTTAGTGGTAATTATCGCCTAAAAATATTAGGTGAATTTGAGATTCCGTGTGGTCCCGGTATAGAATAGGCCACCCTTTTCTTTCCCGTGGGTGTCGTAAGAAACAACTAAAGGAGGGCGAGGAATGGCCAGCAACGTCCCTTAAAATATCTCCAAAGCTGGGCTAAGTGAGGGCGAGGAATAGGCAGCACCGTCCTTCTTAAAACATCTCCAAAGCCAAACTGCAGATGCCAAGCCTGCCTGCCAAACGTGACAACTACTGGCAAAACCCCCTTATGGGGGAGGCTAAGTTTAGCAGTAGAGAGAAAGGCTTAAATGATGATGATTATATGAATAGCACTATGCATTATTATAGAATATAACCACTATAAGTAAAAATATAAAATAAATTCATTAATTATAAAGTTCGAAATAAATTTTATATTTCATTAGATTATTATATAAATTTACTTTACTTTCTATTGAAAAATAATGGTTAGTAATAAGGTATTTAGAGTCCAAACGGAGTCTTTCAACTACTTTCCTTCACCGTGCAGGTGATACCTTATTCCAATAGTTTTAGGAAACTCCTCGGTGTTCACAACTTGAAAACTTCCCTCTACAAAGGATACTTTCTCTATATTTAATAACTACATCGTGACATTCTAAGGAGTAAATGTAGGACAGTGGACGGTGCCTTCATATAAAGTTAGAAAAATTATATTAAAAGTATATTTATTATATTTTAAGAGGTCTCTAAGTATCAAAGTCTAATATTACTTGTACTATGCTAAAACAGAACTACTATTACCAAAGTGAAACAAGAAATGACTATAGGCGACGGTTACCACTTTCCATCAGATGGGCCGTCAGCTTGTTTGCCATTCTAAGTAGTATAAAAAAATACTATGGAAAGATAAATATATAATTTATTTGCATTACATACAGCACACAAATAATAACACAGTAAAAAGAGATAAAAGAATGCATGTACAAAAAAAAGGCAAAATATATAAAACAAGTAACAATTTTGTTCTTTCATGCGTTTACCATAGTAATACAAAATGGTCACAACTCAGTTTATTGTTTTGCCCTCAAAAGAGCAAAGCACTTTGCAGGCAAATTGTAACCCCTAATGCATTTTCAGTCCTGAGATTCAAGGTGTCATGCTTTCGTACCTTTTACTTTCACTACCATATAGGTATTTGTAATCAAAAAGCATGTTTGTATTATCTATTAAAAATAATTACGAAATTAATCCAAAAATAATTAAAAATGTCCTACAAAAAACCAATTTCAAATTTTATAAAAAGAGTTATTTTCGTCGAAAAATTTAACTACTGAACTTGATTTTGATAAAATTTCTACGAAACTTATTTGTAAGTAGGTATATCCTTTTAGATAAAATGAAAATTTTCTAAATTGCTTTAGCACTGACGGAAATATGAGGTAACAAACATAAAAGAAATACAACCGATTTCAGAACCTCCTTCTTTTTGAACTCCATTAAAAAAAACAATCTTAAAACCCAGATTACTCCTAATTAATATATTATAATTCAATTAAATAGACAAGAATTTTCAAAAAGATCTACATTTAGGTATAATTCAATACGTTAATACCACGAATCATTATTCAAAGCACGGCGACCTCTGAAAACACTTTTTAATTCATCGAACTGTACCTTTTGACCCATCTCCGGTTATCCGTTATTCAGATAAGTCCGGGTCCCTGACAGCGGGATAAATACGGCTGTAACCTTTTCGTTGCTGTCGAAAAAAGATCAGGTTTGCTGGTCCAATGTTTCTCGAGATAATTGCGAACAGGGCACGTTATAAATCCTGAGCTCTATAAAATAAAGACCTTTTATATCTTAATTGGAAAATATTCCCGCAAAGCGGGTAATTAAAATTGTTTTCTGTAGCTTTTGTACATGACTTCGTTCGCGTCGGTGGATACCGTACAAAATTCTGCATGGTTACTTCTTTTCCATTCCCGTTTCTGCCTAGCAACGCTACTCACATGGTTATATTTTCCATTAGCTGTATCTCGCGGCTTTTGCCGCGTAAATTAGGATATAATGTATTCTGTAGTATGGTAGAATATAACCGAGCTGTATACCAAATTCATTAGAATATTTCCAGCTGTTTAAGTGTGATTGAGTAACAAACATACAACTAGACATGACTTGCTTACCCATGGGTAACATCGGTACCGCTTCAATACCTACATATTGGATTCATCTGGACATTGATAATGAAAAAAAGGTCATTACCCATTTTGACCAATCGGATATTTTCTACCGTGAAGCAATTGTGTTTGCATGGCTGTGTTTCGGTTTGAAGGGTGGAATATGGCGTGAATTTACAGGGTACAGAGGAATAACATCTGAGTCTTCAGGAATGGCAACGCATGGGGAGTATCATGGACGAAACAATATACTCTGTTATGTCCATGGTACTACTTATGTCTATAGGCGACGGTTACCACTTTCCATCAGGTGGGCCATCAGCTTGTTTGCCATTCTAAGTTGTATATAAAAAAAATTGTATTCAGTTCGATCCAGTACTTCATTTCAACATTATACGTATACGGTAACTGATATTTAAAATATCTATTGTTGAACTAATATATAGATATTGCAATTTATTACCCACCCCTATTACAAACATACAAACATTTACATTTAGAATATTACTATGATTTGTTGGCACTGTATCTATATAATCTAAGGCTCTATCATAGTCTCCTGATATCAACAGTTCTTCAAGAACAGCCAACATAAGGCGAATCGAATTATCAACGAAATATTTAATATAAATATTTAGAATCTAGAATCACAAATAAATGTCACAATTTAAAAACTTCCGACTTTTAAAATAATGGTCGTAGAATAATGCTAATTTCTACACAGAACATGGGTCGATAAGCACTTTGCCGGTTGTAATAAATATTTTAATTAATAAATATGTATTGTAATGCCTCAACTAGATGGAATTCTAATTACTTTACTCCATCACAAGGTGGAAGAAGGCCTTGAAGATATTTCAACAATAAGATCGCTCGCTGTTACCCCTTTACTCTTTTTCTCTTAACGCTCTTTATTATAGTTCTATCTATTTAGCTTTATTTGACTATCTTTTGTCTATGACTTTTTGTCTACGTGTGACTTTGGAAGTAGGGAAACCAATTTTATAAACCATTTCTGAATGGTGTATAAAACATACTCCAGATTTTGACTTCAGGAATACAATTAATACTTGCATCACTTCGTTTAAAAAAAGTATGCAAAATACATATATTTTATTAAGTAAAATTTCCATAATCTCATTATATCATGAATGATTTTTTACATAGGTACCTATCATTATAACTACATGTGCAAAAATTTATTCTACTTGTAATTTAAATGATTTATTTACATTTTTAAAAGTAGTATATTACGAAATATTAAGAAATAAATAAATAAATATTTATTCAAATATCATTCATTACTTTAATAATTTACACCATATCAATTATTTAAAATAAAAATATACCTATTTATATAAAGGTTTTTTTTTAAAGAAACTTTTTCGAATATGAATAACTATAACTAATAAAAGTAACGCTATGTGTTTATTTAAAATTATAAATCAATATAAAATAGGTATAAATAAATTAGGTAATTAAATGTAGATAATTAGAAAATCTTACCTTGGCAACGTATCTTACTCTCAATCTTTAATTGTTTAATCAATTGTGAATAATATCTTCAAACCTGCCAGAATCAACAACATGTCAACAACGTCTGCTCACATCTTTTGTCCATATAGATAAATCTCTATAAGTACAATATTACATTTTGTTCATCTTCACTTTTTATCACTGAACTGTCAACATAAGAATATACAGTACCAGCAAAAGTCCTTATATTGTATCATTTAAACACATATAACATACAGTTTTCAATATAATTTCAAGTGCAATATCAGACGTCTAATTTTTTCCCGTATATTTGATTAATTTTACAAAATTTTTTTGTTATTAGTTACAAATATGTAACTACGAACATTTAGAGCCAGACTCTATCCGCCATGTTTCTTCTACATTGACGCATGCGCGCCTTTTGTTTCCGACCGACATGCGCCCTGAATGTTTGTAATGAAAAATTAAAATTGACATTGTTTTGGTTACTGTTCTTATGAAAAATTAAAGAAAACCACCTTCCACCGAGGCAGATGAGCGTAGCAAAACAAAGATACCGCTTCGTGTACCGTACGTATGAGAAATATCACATTTCTCATTTGTTTTTCTCGTACCATTTTTAACTCGGAGAATAATTTGAAAGTAAATTAGAAACGCTATGTTTAGAAATACGATGTAAATATTTATTGACGTTATATTTTGATGAAAGCGATACGTTTTTAGAAGCAAGCTTATTAAATATCGAATTTCAATAATTTAAAGCACTAAGTGAATAATTTAAACTTTTTCACTTTAATAGAAAATACTATATTTTGAATGTAGTTTAGATTTTTATAAAAATAATAAGGCGGAATATATTAAAAAATTGTACACTTTGTACCTAATAAAAAAAAAAGAAATATCTCGTGGTGAAACAACGCTCGATATGCCCACATTTTGCCAGACATAGAATCCATCACAGCAAGAGGCGAGTCTACTGCCCTAGCTCGGATTAATTATAATTATTATCGATGTTTGCCATCATCGGAGAGTTAACCGGTAATTTTAAATTACTTTTGTTTTGAATTATAAAAGGTACATACAAGTTACATTACTGTACTCTAAATACTTATGTACCATATATCGGAAATTTTATGAATTTACTATTGTCATTTCGGACAATTGTTTTGACTCTATCTAGAAATCTTCTTCAGGGGGAGTACAGTGCTTTTTGTCACAGTGTCTTGTCTAGCAAAATATGTTAATATTATTTTTTTACGATACGTTAAAAAAAATACATAAGTATATATTTTTTAAAGTATAAAACAACTATTTCGTATTCAGACTGGGAAATAGTGAAACCGCATGTATGTTATATAAACCCTTAATACTGATGACCTCTCGGGACAAAGGCGTAGAAGAACAATTTAATTATAACCAAAATACTACATTAATATTCTTTAATGTTTTATGCTAAGATCTCTACAAATTCATTTAGATAACTAACGAATACAAAGTAGATTTAAAAAAATTAAAAATTCGTGACAGTTACCGTAACTAATGAAAATGAAAGAAAACTGATTTCGCGCAGTTGAAAGACTGTAGTATTTCCTACTAGTAGGTAAACAGTAATATTTCATTCATCATCATAACAGCCATAAACTGTTTACTGTTGAACATAGAACCCCCATAAAGAAATGTCGTACCAGTAGTTGCCATGCCTGGAAAGCGAGTTTTTTTTATGGGTAAAAATGGAATGGTAACCCCTCCTGCGCTAACGGTACACGCTGGCGGGACACCAGTGAAGGGCGATCGATGAGAATGAAAACAGGCCAGTCAGCCCATCATGATGAATTCATCAGAAATTAACCATGATAGTTTCCAGGGGGAATCACGAGGAGGTCGACCTCTTGATTAAAAAAATATTTAATTCTATTACTATATTACTAAAGTTGTTTTTTTTTTACTCAATCACGATTTGGTAGGTACAAAGATAGATCATTTATCTTAAAATAACACATAGGCCATTTTTCATCGTAACCCACGCAAGAAAAACCACGTAAGTCAGAGGCGTTTGTTGTGAACATATGTACTGTGGGCGTATTAAGTGTGGATTTGCCCTTATTTTACGGAGGATATTCAAATACAACATAGTAGGGTTGATACTTATTTACTTATACCTAATGAAATATTCTGTTTGCCGTGTGGTCTCGGCAATAAGATGGGCCACCCCTTCCTTTTCCGTAGGCGTCGTAAGAGACGACTAAGGGAAGTTAATGGTTGAGGAATGAGCAGCAGTGTCCCTCTTTAAATATCCCAGGGGGAAAAGGATTGTTAGTAATGGAGACTGAGAATCCCATTGCTAGCAATATATCCAACCAGGTCAACCTCCTCGCGGTTCCCCCTGGAAACTACCATGGTTAATAATAAACTGGTGCTCCGCCATATATATATATATATATATATATATATATATATATATATATATATATATATATATATATATATATATATATATATATAGTAGAATCTATCATCATATCATCACATGAAATAAAAGGCGATCCTCCACTAAATGGAGTGATTATCTCAAATATGTTGCAAAGACTTTAACGATCGGAACACAAATAATCAAAATAAAACAAATTAAAAAGTTAATTTAAACAATATGAAGCAACTATATTAAATATATATCTATATAAATGTATAATATATCTATATAAATTTAATAATGTATGTATATATATAATGTAATAAAAGGATGTGTTCCATACATCTTTATTACGTGTTTTCGCAACTCGGTGACTACGCCGAGTACCTGTCATCCTGTGATAGTTACGCCTCTTCCGTATCTTGATTTATAGGTAGCGTTGTACTCGTACGATACCGTGTAGAACCGGGATACCGGTGTATTATCTGCTCCGGTGTACACACCAAACTTGCGAGTGAACAAACAAGAACGGCTTTATGATGAAAGAAACACGTAATACTTTTTAACTAATAATTTTCAACATTATTAAAAAAAAATTAAAAATACATATTCTAGCCATGTAGTCCCAATATAGAATGACCCACCCCTTCCTTACCCGTGGGTGTTGTAAGAAGTGATTAAAGAAACTTAATAGTCGAGGGACGAGCTACAGCGACTTTCTAAAAACATCACCGAAGCCTAACTGCGGTTGCCAACCCCCCTGAAAAGCGCCCCCCCCCCCCACAAGGGGAGGTATATTCGTCAACAGACAGTTCACGACTGATATGACGATATATAACAAATTTTTAATACAATTAATTCATAGAGTATTCTTTTATAACATGTATTGTCTATCCTGAAATCCAAGTATCAGTTATTCTTCTTTTTGAAATAAACAGCAAAACTTTTACTCTATACATTCATTAATATGAAACCTGTGTATATATTAATACAGTCTATTTTTAACGTCTATCAAAAATGGGTCAGTAACTAAAACATCGCCTAGCTAAATTGTCAATGAAGTCCATTATTAGAACGCAAGCTTAACGCTTAACCATTCATTTCCTGCAGGCCTACTCTTGAATCTCATATAGATATCAATTCAATCTAATACCAATGAAAATTTTGTAATACATACATACAGGGGGGAAAGGGATTGTTAGTAATGGAGACTGAGAATCCCATTGCTAGCAGTATACCTAACCAGGTCGACCTCCTCGCGGTTCTGCCTGGAAACTATCACGGTTAATTCCTGATGAATTCATCATGATGGGCCAACTGGCCTGTTTTCATTCTCATCTATCACCCTTCACTGGTGCTCCGCCAGCGTATTCCGTTAGCGCAGGCGGGGTTACCATACTATTTTCACTCATCAAAAAAAAATACCATAGTAGGGGGGTAGCCATTCCATTATCATCCATTAAAAAAAAACAAGCGAAAGTCTGTGTATTTTTAATATTGACGTGATTATTGAGACAGTTAACAACAAACTAACAGGTTACCTTGGATTAAAGCTTAGATAATAATATGTAATAGATATAATAATTTTGATGTATAGGGCTTCATAGACGGATTAAAATGTTCTTCCATTACACACATGAAATAGATATCTACTCTACTAATTAATCTCCGTGGAAAGTGCCTGCCTAGGTAAACTTGCTGAAATATGTAAATAGGGACATATATCGTTTGACATTCAAATGTTTCAAACATTTATTTGTGTTATTAACAATACATTTTTATTACCTTCGTACTCTCCTTCCATATAATTATTATTCAATGTAATATATTATTTTCTTCGATTAATTCTTTATTTGCAATTGTGTTAACATTCACTCCCTTTATATTCTTAAATACGATTTTTTCATTGCTGTTATGTCTACTTTACTCTTAAAATGATAGATAATAATTAAAAAAATTCTCAATAGAATCTAATAATTTATTTAAAATCATTAAAAAAAATATTATCATAGTGACGTTTTCTACTTGTACGTATCTTTGGGATTATTCTTATCCATACATAATATTTTTTTTATTGTTTTAATTTTTTTTGTTTTTTCTATTATTAGTACCTATTTTTACTTACCTATTTTTACCAGAGGGAGACTTTGTACAAAAGTCGATTGCTTGGGTACCTCTGTCCCATTCGTGTTTCTACCGTGAAGCAGTTGTGTTTGCATGGCTGTGTTTCGGTTTGAAGGGTAAGATATGGCGTGAATTTACAGGGTACGGAGGAATAACATCTGAGTCCTCAGGAATGGCAACGCATGGGGGGTATCATGGGCGAAACAGTGTACCCTGTTATGTCCATGGTACTGCTCATGTCTATAGGCGACGGTTACCACTTTCCATCAGCTTGTTTGCCATTCTAAGTTGTATAAAAAAAAAACTTATTAATTGAATAATGTATAATAGTCACGTTTTTTCTTTCGTACATATATACGATCGTACATATTACGTACATATACAGATTACAAAGATTATAAATATGCACACAAAAAATATAATTAACTTAATTACAAAAATATAATAAAAAGGCAACAATAGTCGACCTTAGATGCGAGATTTTAATTTTTATAAATTTTATGCTACAAGTTACAGAGTTTCTGATTCTATTGTCTAAAATAAACTTGGCTACAAAAAAATACTCCATATAGGTTAAATTACTTCTAGACATTTGATGCGAATTTTCGTAACATGGTTTTTTTCTACATAGTTTTGTATTGAAAAATAAAAAACCAAACAAAACAAAAATCGCGTCAATTAAACAAAACACGAACAAAACACGCACTTAGAAAATTCGTAGCGTGGGCTTATTTTTACAAAGAAATACTAGTTTGTTGAAGTCTACACGGACAGACGGATTTAATATTTATAACTTTTTCTGTTTTAAATTTATATTTTTTATACTATATTGGTAGGTACTTTATATTCATGTAAAACTTAGTTGTAAAGATCTAATTTTCT